TATATTTCTTCCATTCTTTCTTTTTTGTTTTTACTGCCATTTTCGCACCACACTTGTTTATTCACGGAGGGGTGGATTTTACAGGAAGTGCATTACAAATCGTATGTGGTCATCAATCTTTTTGTTGGGGTATTCCCAGGCTACACCCACAGATTCGGTGTTATTGAGAGTGGTCCAGGATTCCTGGTTCGTATTTCTCCTAATCTGATCATAGTTGTCTTTGTTGTAGATTAGTCTTTGGGTTTTCACGGATTGGTCGCCATGAAGGCGTGAATGTGATGGAGACATGACCATTCTTACCACGTGGTACATTGTTATTGTTGTTGTACACACTATTTACATCGTTATATTACACTAAATCCAGGATTGATGGCGTTCTGTTTTGACATACTCGTGTGTGCTAATTGATATGCTGATAGGCATAGTCATATCTGATAAATTCTAGGAACTTTGATGTGTAGTGATTTACACACTCACAGACGTGTTTACACATTCACAGACGTGTTTACACACTCGCAGACGTGTTTACACACTCACACACGTTATTTACACATTCACAGACGTGTTTACACACTCACACCCGTGATTTACACACAGACGTGTTTACACACTCGCAGACGTGTTTACACACTCACACCCGTGATTTACACACTCACAGACGTGTTTACACACTCGCAGACGTGTTTACACACTCACACACGTTATTTACAAACTCACAGACGTGTTTACACATTCACAGACGTGTTTACACACTCACAGACGTGTTTTTACCTTTCCATTTTATTTCTTTAAAATCAAAATCTCCAACAAACATGTGAGAATGACTATGATTTTTATAGTTCGGTGCTGACAGTGCCGTGTTGAATGCAAATTCTTGTCTATTTTACAAAAATTCAAATTCTGATCATTTGGCCTACCAGCACGTTGTTGCCCTGTCAGAGAGATCGGATCATATTTGTCATATTTTTTAATTGTAAGATCAAGTATTCACATATTTCAATTGATTTCTAAATTTGATTCAATGCATTTTAATATAGGAAGGAGGAAATACATGTTGATGTAATGTTTTGCATGTTATTTAATCAATTATAGTCATAACAACCTGAAATAACTTTGGTTAGTTAAGTAGTAAATATAATGCTGTTGATATGATACACATGACACATTACACAGATATAAATAAAAAAAACCCGTTTTATGATTTACTAGCAGCAGTATTGCTTCTCATAGGTTTATTTATGATAATACGTCTTCTGTATGCTAATTTAAATGAGTTAGAAATGCTAAACAGGGTCCCGGAGATTCATCCTAAAGATGACATGCACGTAATTAGCCCAAGCCGACCCAGAAACTGTAACACCTATGTCATTTTACAAAGTATTGTGAAATTTCTTGACGTCTTTCAAATAAACGACATATTGAATGACAAATGCAATTAATAATGTAAATTCTTGTCTGAATCGCGTACATGTTGTATGAATTCTCATCCTGTTACCTTTAAACAGTCATACACTGTCGACCTAATCGTACTATTTAGTATTGTTTAATGAAGGTACAATCAGGAAACTTCTTGTACTTAAAAGACAAAGATACAAGAACTAAAATCGTAAGAAGAATGAGAAATAAGAGTCGAGAAGGGTGAGAGAAAAGTCAATACCGTAGTCATCATAATGAGAGAATAGTCAATACCGTAGTCATCATAATGAGAGACAGGAGTCAATACCGTAGTCATCAGGGTGAGAGAAAAGTCAATACCGTAGTCATCATAATGAGAGAAAAGTCAATACCGTAGTCATCATAATGGGAGAAAAGTCAATACCGTAGTCATCATAATGAGAGACAGGAGTCAATACCGTAGTCATCATAATGGGAGAAAAGTCAATACCGTAGTTATCATAATGACAGACAGGAGTCAATACCGTAGTTATCATAATGAGAGAAAAGTCAATACCGTAGTTATCATAATGAGAGAAAAGTCAATACCGTAGTTATCATAATGACAGACAGGAGTCAATACCGTAGTCATCAGGGTGAGAGAAAAGTCAATACCGTAGTCATCATAATGAGAGAAAAGTCAATACCGTAGTTATCATAATGAGAGAAAAGTCAATACCGTAGTTATCATAATGAAAGAAAAGTCAATACCGTAGTCATCAGGGTGACAGAAAAGTCAATACCGTAGTCATCATAATGAGAGAAAAGTCAATACCGTAGTCATCATAATGAGAGAAAAGTCAATACCGTAGTCATCAGGGTGAGAGAAAAGCCAATACCGTAGTCATCATAATGAGAGACAGGAGTCAATACCGTAGTCATCATAATGAGAGAAAAGTCAATACCGTAGTCATCATAATGAGAGAAAAGTCAATACCGTAGTCATCAGAATGAGAGAGAAAAGTCGATACCGTAGTCATCATAATGAGAGACAGGAGTCAATACCGTAGTCATCAGGATGAGAGATATGAGTCAATACTGTTGTCATCAGCATGAGAGACAGGAGTCAATACCGTAGTCATGAGGATGAGAGACAGGAGTCAATACTGTTGTCATGAGGATGAGAGACAGGAGTCAATACCGTAGTCATGAGGATGAGAGACAAGAGTCGATACTGTAGTTAGCAGGATGAGAGAAAAGAGTCAATGCCGTAGTCATCAGGATGAGAGATATGAGTCAATACTGTTGTCATCAGCATGAGAGACAGGAGTAAATACCGTAGTTAGCAGGATGAGAGATAGGAGTCAATACCGTAGTCATCATAATAAGAGACAGGAGTCAATACTGTAGTTAGCAGGATGAGAGATAGGAGTCAATACCGTAGTCATCAGGATGAGAGACAGGAGTCAATACTGTAGTTAGCAGGATGAGAGACAGGAGTCAATACCGTAGTTAACAGGATGAGTGACAGGAGTCAATGCCGTAGTCATGAGGATGAGAGACAAGAGTCAATACTGTAGTTAGCAGGATGAGAGACAGGAGTCAATACCGTAGTTAACAGGATGAGTGACAGGAGTCAATGCCGTAGTCATGAGGATGAGAGACAAGAGTCAATACTGTAGTTAGCAGGATGAGAGACAGGAGTCAATACCGTAGTTAACAGGATGAGAGACAGGAGTCAATACCGTAGTTAACAGGATGAGAGACAGGAGTCAATACCGTAGTCATGAGGATGAGAGACAGGAGTCAATAACGTAGTTAGCAGGATGAGAGACAGGAGTCAATACCGTAGTTAACAGGATGTGAGACAGGAGTCAATACCGTAGTTACCAGGATGTGAGACAGGAGTCAATACCGTAGTTAGCAGGATGAGAGACAGGAGTCAATACCGTAGTTATCAGGATGAGAGACAGGAGTCAATACCGTAGTCATGAGGATGAGAGACAGGAGTCAATACCGTAGTCATGACGATGAGAGACAGGAGTCAATACCGTAGTTATCAGGAGGAGAGACAAGAGTCAATACCGTAGTTAGCAGGATGAGAGACAGGAGTCAATACCGTAGTCGTCAGGTTGAGAGACAGGAATCAATGCCGTAGTTAGCAGGATGAGAGATATGAGTCAATACCGTAGTTAGCAGGATGAGAGACAGAGTCAATACAATACTTCGGAGGGCGAAAGACAAGTAAAGGTGAAAACAGTTGTCTTATATATTCAGGAACGTAAGAAATAAGAGAATACGAGAATATACCGTACTCAGGAGGGTGGAAGATTCAATACCGTAGTCAGGAGGGTGGAAGATCCAATACCGTACTCAGGAGGGTGGAAGATTCAATACCGTAGTCAGGAGGGTGGAAGATTCTATACCGTAGTCAGGAGGGTGGGAGATTCTATACCGTAGTCAGGAGGGTGAAAGATTCAATAACGTACTCAGGAGGGTGGGAGATTCAATACCGTAGTCAGGAGGCCATAACAAAATTGTCTAGATCGTACTCGTGAGATTTCCCGGTCACCGAAGGCTGAGACGGTGATTACCCTTTCATATCTCTCACAACGTCACAACGATAACTCAAAGCATTGGGATAACAAAACCTGGTATTTAGGAATTCGAACAAGATAAGAGAAAATATCATCAAGTTACAAACACTCGGCAAGCCTCACGTTTGCCAACTTAACTATCTTCCCCAACGATGAAAATATTTTATTTCGAATGTTCTGGGATTTGAACTTGATGGCCATTTTTGCTTCGGATTACGAAAAATATGCGTGAATAAGAACATTAGCACAGATATGTTACCAGATGGTGGCAAGTCGATATGAATACAATTTGGGTGACAAATAAATAATCACACTGACAATTATTTGTCGCCCAAATTGTATTCATACAAGCTGTATTCTACCATCTGGTACCAAGTCATTGCTGAAATGTATTACTGACATAGATGTCGCATTCAGGACTAAAATTGACAATGTTGGTGTGATCTAAAAGGACAGATAAACCCGATCCAATTGACATTGCTATTCTAACTTAACTATTAACCACTACCACTCACTTTCATCAATATTACACCAAATGATTTAATACTGTTGTCATATTACAGAATTACATCGTGTTCAACATATTCTGTGCTGACCTCAATTTTTTTTAGGTCAACGATCGATCAGCTTATGACTTTTTTTACTAACACAGAAAGATGATAAAGCCGTGAGTTAATACTTAGTATAGTAGTATTTACATGTATAGTGACAGTATACACATTGGCAGATGTTAGTTTGTTCTGTGATTGTGTCACCCTCCGTTGTACCAAACAAAACGTTTTGGTTTAATATCAGATACAATACTCTTGATTTAATAGTCTAGTTGTTTTTAAACAGTTCAGACATAAAAGACACTTACAACGTATGATTCACTATTATATATTTTTGTATTCTAAGTTGATGGATTATCAATAACTTTTAAGATTAAAACAACATCTTATTAATAAATTAAAATATATAGATACATAAATGCATTTCGGCTGCGATGAGTTTTTTTCATAACTTATTTTCGTGCTTATAATTCACAAGTTATTGGGAGGTTGTCTGCGGTAGGCTGATGGACACTGAGAATGATTCACTAGTAGGTGGTAGGCTGTTGGACACTGAGAATGATTCACTAGTAGGTGGTAGGCCATTGGACGCTGAGAATGATTCACTGGTAGGTGGTAGGTTGTTGGACACTGAGAATGATTCACTAGTAGGTGGTAGGCTGATGGACACTGAGAATGATTCACTAGTATGTGGTATTCTGTTGCACACTGAGAATGATTCACTAGTAGGTGGTATTCTGTTGCACACTGAGAATGATTCACTAGTAGGTGGTAGGCTGTTGGACACTGAGAATGATTCACTAGTAGGTGGTAGGCCATTGGACGCTGAGAATGATTCACTGGTAGGTGGTAGGTTGTTGGACACTGAGAATGATTCACTAGTAGGTGGTAGGCTGATGGACACTGAGAATGATTCACTAGTATGTGGTATTCTGTTGCACACTGAGAATGATTCACTAGTAGGTGGTATTCTGTTGCACACTGAGAATGATTCACTAGTAGGTGGTAGGCTGTTGGACACTGAGAATGATTCACTAGTAGGTGGTATTCTGTTGGACGCTGAGAATAATTCACTAGTAGGTGGTAGGTTGTTGGACATTGAGAATGATTCACTAGTAGGTGGTAGGCTGTTAGACACTGAGAATGATTCACTAGTAGGTGGTAGGTTGTTGGCCACTGAGAATGATTCACTAGTAGGTGGTAGGTTGTTGGACACTGAGAATGATTCACTAGTAGGTGGTAGGCTGATGGACACTGAGAATGATTCACTAGTAGGTGGTAGGCTGTTGGACGCTGAGAATGATTCACTGGTAGGCGGTAGGCCGATGGACACTGAGAATGATTCACTGGTAGGTGGTAGGTTGTTGGACACTGATAATGATTCACTAGTAGGTGGTAGGCTGATGGACACTGATAATGATTCACTAGTAGATGGTAGGCTGTTAGACACTGATAATGATTCACTAGTAGGTGGTAGGCTGATGGACACTGAGAATGATTCACTAGTAGGTGGTAGGCTGTTGGACGCTGAGAATGATTCACTGGTAGGCGGTAGGCCGATGGACACTGAGAATGATTCACTGGTAGGTGATAGGCTGTTGGACATTGAGAATGATTCACTAGTAGGTGGTAGGCTGTTGGAAAATAAGAATGATTCACTAGTAGGCGGTAGGTTGTTGGACACTGAGCTTGATTCACTGGTAGGTGGTAGGTTGTTGGACACTGAGATTGATTCACTGGTAGGTGGTAGGTTTGATGGACACTGAGAATGATTCACTAGTAGGTGGTAGGCTGTTAGACACTGATAATGATTCACTAGTAGGTGGTAGGCTGATGGACACTGAGAATGATAATTTACTGGTAGGCGGTAGGTTGTTGGACGCTGGGAATGATTCACTAGTAGGTGGTATTCTGTTGGACACTGAGAATGATTCACTGGTAGGTGGTAGGCTGTTGGACATTGAGAATGATTCACCAGTAGGTGGTAGGCTGTTGGAAAATAAGAATGATTCACTAGAAGGTGGTATGCTGTTGGACGCTGAGATTGATTCACTAGTAGGTGGTAGGTTGTTGGACACTGAGATTGATTCACTAGTAGGTGGTAGGTTGTTGGACACTGAGATTGATTCACTAGTAGGTGGTAGGTTGTTGGACACTGAGATTGATTCACTAGTAGGTGGTAGGTTGTTAGACGCTGGGAATGATTCACTAGAAGGTGGTAGGCTGTTGGACACTGAGATTGATTCATTAGTAGGTGGTAGGTTGTTAGACGCTGGGAATGATTCACTAGTAGGCGGTAGGTTGTTCGACACTGAGATTGATTCACTGGTAGGTGGTTGACGTTTGGTGACCGAGATGCAGGCGACTTCGTCAAGTCAAGTATATAGATATAATCGTAGAATGATGACTCAAGGAGCGCTATTTATGGTATTTTATGATATCAAGTGCGAGAAGTTCACAAGTCGTGACCACAAAAGAAAAGTGTTTCAAATTTGCATAATGTGATTTTGTCATTTATGTTTATTTGTGTTCCACTTTATCTAAAACATGTATTGCCTTGATTTCGTGTTAACACATCTATATACGACAGGAAGTGAGAATTTATGAGAAATATGCATTGAGAAAAATTGACATATGGTGATTTATATAAAGAATACATCGTAAAATAAAAAGATTCATAATTAATTCTCAATTAATATGATGATTAAATCTTCAGTCGGCTGATTTCCCAGATATGACCGGGTCACTGACAAATCGGGATGTCACCAAGATATCTTGACAGACTGACCTTGTTCCTAAGTAAGACAAGGTAAGTGAATATATATATATATATATAGCTAGTACACACATTACCTTCAATAGCCTATTCTGAATACCGTGATTTAAATAACATTTTGTGCTGACTATGAAGTCATTGGGCCGGTTCATGAAATATATGGCACTCGGCATGATCTCAGAAAGTATAACTTTGTTCGATAGGAAATTCGACGTGCTTCCCGATGAGCTCGATGCCTTTGTGTTATGCCTGGCATTATAAATACCCTTGATACCTATTTCCTATTCAGAGAACGAGATGTTTTCCATATGTGACCAAAACTGGGATTGCTAGTGTCATCGATGGAACTGAAGGTGCTGCTCTCACAGAACATAATGGTACTTTTTTCTTTCAATTTTTAAATGAACGATGTGATTGCATTCACATTACTATGAATGTTATCCGGAAAATCAAATCACTAATGACATTCTATTTCGGGAGTGTCATGTATTACGTTTGTCCCTCTGTTTCAAATAGGCTAATTGTTACTCCCACTGGCCGCAAAGGTATGACCTTTGACCTTTACTGATCACATCTGTTTGTATACCTCTGAGTCGGTTAGATAGATGAAACCTTAAACAGGAAGTTAAGGTGACAATGTATGGACCGTTCGTAAACACAATATCTACAGTAACCATTCTTTGGTGCATCAGAGGGATGAACTCTGAAATATACAGGAGAGGATGGCTACTAACCATTCCATACCTATTTCAAAATACTAATTGTGTATACATTAAACTTATATTACTGACAAAAGTGACGTTAACGTCCTCTTTAATAATGCATAAAGGTCGATGTTTTAATAGAATTAGCAGAATGGCTTGATGCTTGTCAATCTCTCAAATAACAATAAAAAACCCACGCAAGTCTTAAAAGAGTCATTGGCTTATCAGCCATGTTAATTAGCTGTGAAATGCATATTGATGTCAAATAATGAACAATTGTCTCAAATTAAAACAGTAATACAGGTAATGCATATAAAAGTCTGCAAGTTAGTCCTTGAACAAAAGGGCATCACCCGTGAGATGCATCTGAGGGCTTTATGAGATGTATGTGACGGTGTGGAATAGACGTTATGCTAAAATTTGACAGCTGATTGTGATTAACGACGTTACAGGCGTATGGTAGTGAAATAGTTAAATAATAATTCCATTCTGATCCCTTTTTTACGATCATGACGTCCCTTTCCCAACATACTGTTTAAAAATAAATCATTCACCCACAGCAGGCTGATCAGAATCACTGTGACCGTTCTTAGTCCTACTTGGTGTAACCTGATCAACGACGCCGAGTATAAAAAGTTATACAAAAATCAGATTTGACTTTCCGGGATTTACGACCCTTATCACTATTGTATACCATAATCATATATATATGGACCTTGGGTTGGGAATTCGTGTCAAGTCCGTGTGTTTGTTTGATGACATGGCTATGTAAACATGTCGTTTGCCTTGCTTTATTTCATTTAACGTCTCGCACGGTTCCGCAGCTGACCACAGTAAATTGGCAATTCTGAAGACAAATGGATCGTCTTTGTTAGAATATAATACAACAAAACACTGTCAAGCTTCATGTCTTAATCCGACTTCCGGTTACTTAGTGTTTAATGTCTTGTTTTACACACGATGAGAATGATGCATATGATAAAAATCAATATTGAGAAGAAATCGGTCACAGCTTTGAGCTGAACGTTCATTCAAATGAAAGAATTCGACAATATCATGAACTAAATTCAGCCATTTGACCTACTAATTTCCTCAAAACCTTGAAAATTTCGCAGATTTTATATTAAATCATCACAACGGGTGAAAAATACAATATAACTGATGGTGGATGGCTTCCTTAACTTAACCGAACAACTCTCCGGCAAATTGATACAAAAAGTAGGGAGGAAAATGTATTGATAGCAAGGAAACTGATGAAGCTGTCTCCCTTACATCAAATGGTGAAATTGTGATTAATTCAAATTCATATTTGAGTGCTGCGTTAACATTTCCATTCCTTAAGATATAAATATAAATAGTGAAACATACGTCGGAAATAAGAAAATGTAATGAATCTATTCAAAGTGTCAGGTTTTTAAAATATTAGAACAGATTTTTAGAAAAATGAAATGTTCCAGGGATACAGAGAGCGATAGTAAGCGTAATCCTTGGAGTATCGATAATGCAATGACGCACAACTGGCGCCACCTACAATTTACTGCTTCCGGTATAATAAGGCACTTCAATTGAACTCGCCGCTGTTCTAACGCTGCCGATGTTTAATCATCTTTTTTTTCATTATTACTGATTTACTTATTTTGTTTTGTAATGTTTTATGAAAGTCAGTGGTTATCAAATGTAATCGTTTTGGTTTATTTAAATTTGTGCGACAGATACACTTCGATGAACACACAAGAAAAGAATTCTTCAGTAATAGATAAATTCACTGTGGTGACATTGAAGTGTATATGGTTATGAATTTTATAATAAGATCAAGTGAGCAGGCAAAGCATTTTCCGCTCTGAACAGGAATTTTAGAACATATTACGTTTAGGAGGAAAGGTAAATGCAGTCACCTTAATTCCTATAAAGGATGTATGAAGATGGTCAAAATTTATAAGATTTCACCTTTATTATGGTTTGGAGTTTTGAACAAAAAGATGACAGAAAGTGAACTAAAGATAAACTAGAATTTATTTTCGCCTGTTTTCTGCATTTTTCGTGAATAACAGATATCCAATTTTTCGAGACGATCTGTTTTTTCTATCAAATTCCTTCTTCCATTAGAATGCAGTAGAATGATACTATAATGATAAAAACTGCATACTTCTTAACTTTAATTTGTGGGTACATTTACAAAACTCCACAGTAACCAAAGCAGTATTTTTTTCAAATTGCTTAAATTCTGCAATCATAATGATTTTTGAAATCTAAATGCTTTAAAAACAATTCTCTGATAGGAAAATATATGGAACAAATTGAAATATAAAGAATAAAGAAAAATGATCCAGTATCTCATAATTCACGTATTTCAAAATTGTGATTTGAAGTGATAATTAATGTAAAATCAGTTTTTGAGATTTCTACACAAGACTTCAAGAGATGTACTCTAGAGCATTAACCTAGCAATGGAAAATTGTCGAAATTGTTGACATAAAAACCAAGTCAAAACGTCAGCCACGCCGTCACAATCTGCAACGTACCCGTCGCTTAGTGTAACACAACAGAAGTGACATCGAAAAGTAAAAATTTGAAACACAACGGAATGTCAGGTATATTATGAACAGACTGAAAATAAACAATACTTTGACAAATAACTGTAAAACTGTGTAGAATGGTAAGGAAAACTTTTCAATAAAATTGCAGATACGGTAGTATTCTAGAGCACTACTCTAGCAACCGAAAAATGTCGAAATTGTTGACATAAAAACCGAATCACCACGTCAATTACGCCGTCACAAAATATAGTCCACAAACAGCAATTTTACAACTATAGATTAAAAAATATATCAAATCATAAAAAAATCGAACACATTACAATGGAATTTATTTGATAATGAATTATGTCCTACTTCCTGTTTAATATAATTTATAACGAAAATAAAAATCTAACCTCACTGAACATTGTGAGTCCCCATAGTCCCTCTCAGCATTCCAGCTATTTTGATATCGCCACGTACCTTGGTTCAGCAATAGTATACACGGGACAGATATCGAAGACGATACTATACAACATGTCAACAAGGCCCAGGACGAAGAACAAATCACTTCACTCGAAAGGTATTTGTTATGCATTTTTTTTCTATTTTGTTTTTCAAATATTGTAGTTGGCAACTGCGAAAGACGAAACGATGCAGTTGCCTGTACGGGGATCCGTTGCTATGACCAGGTGTCAAAGAGAGGATATGAATATAAAAAACACATTTATTACAATCTGCAACATACCAATCACTTAGTATAATAATATAAGAGAGATATACGTCCAAAAGTAAAAAAAAAAAAAAAAAAAAAAAAAACAAAAAAAACAAAAAAAAAAAACAAACACAATGGAACGTCAAGCATATTATGAACAGACTGAAAATAAACAATATTTTGATCAATAACTGTAAAACTGTAAAGACTTGTAAGGAAAAATTTTAATAAAATTGCAAAAAATTCAAATATAGATTAAAGATAGCACATTTGTGGATGAAAATGAGAAAAAAAAACCAATTGAACGAAAACTTTGACACTTTTGTGTCTTTGAAAAAAATCTAAACAGAGAGTGGACAGATAAATATAATGTGTTATGTTCCTAATTATCAAATAAATGTCAGATTATCTAATAAGCATATATTCCTAGTGTCGTTTCGGTATAGTTCCACTTTATTTCGATGTGTCGTCTCGGTATAGGTCCACTTTTTTTTTATGTGTCGTCTCGGTGTAGTTCCACTTTATTTTGATGTGTCGTCTCGGTGTAGGTCCACTTTATTTCGATGTGTCGTCTCGGCATAGTTCCACTTTATTTCAATGTGTCGTCTCGGTTTAGGTCCACTTTATTTCGATGTGTCGTCTCGGTGTAGGTCCACTTTATTTTGATGTGTCGTCTCGGTGTAGGTCCACTTTATTTTGATGTGTCGTCTCGGTGTAGGTCCACTTTATTTCGATGTGTCGTCTCGGTGTAGGTCCACTTTATTTCAATGTGTCGTCTCGGTTTAGGTCCACTTTATTTCGATGTGTCGTCTCGGTGTAGGTCCACTTTATTTCGATGTGTCGTCTCGGTGTAGGTCCACTTTATTTTGATGTGTCGTCTCGGTGTAGGTCCACTTTATTTCGATGTGTCGTCTCGGCATAGGTCCACTTTATTTCGATGTGTCGTCTCGGTGTAGGTCCACTTTATTTCGATGTGTCGTCTCGGCATAGTTCCACTTTATTTCAATGTGTCGTCTCGGTTTAGGTCCACTTTATTTCGATGTGTCGTCTCGGTATAGGTCCACTTTATTTCGATGTGTCGTCTCGGTATAGTTCCACTTTATTTCGATGTGTCGTCTCGGTGTAGGTCCACTTTATTTCGATGTGTGAACATTTCCTTCCAATTTCACAGTTTGTTCACATATTTTTGTAGGTGATTCAGTCAACTGAAAAACTTAAAACTATAATTAACAATGATAATGTAAATGTATTGATGAAAAATCATTGGTCAGAAATAAACCTAAACATCATGTGAGAATGCTCTTCATAAGCCTATTGTAAGGAATAGTAATCCCGAAAACTTGTGATGGTGACAATATTAAAAATAACATTTTTTAAAAAAAATTCAGATCACTTAATGTTGATCAGAAAAAAAGGAATCACATTCACGATATATTCATGTAACCATCAGCATCTCAATTTCAGTCACCTGATAAAAATATATACTCTTTATTCTAAACCCCTTTCTCCAAACTAGACAATACATCGTGCATGCAACGTAATAAGAGAGATAACTCCTGCAATTATTTATTCATTTATCTATTTTTTCCGGAATATTTGATTGCCTTGTTTTTCTAAGAAAAGGAATTGGGCAACAGGCTTCCTTTGACAATCGAAACTTCCCATCAGATTAGCCAAATTGTCTCTGATTCTATGTAAAGTAGATGAACAAATACAAAACTGAATGAAAGGAATAAAAAAACCATTTGTGGAACAAAAGATTGATACGGTATCAACATCCTTTGTTATCATAACATAGCTCTTTTTATTGTTATTCAAATATGATGCACGAGAAAATACAGATTTATCACATAACTACCTTGTAACCGCTGCCATAACACCCATGACCAAAAATAAATATTATAACAAGTAATATCACCTAACGGTGCTTTGATTGGCTGAAGGAAGCCGACGTCAAACTGTAAGCAGTGAAACACTCTTACTGGGTTTCTTTCGCCTTCCCAAAGCACTGTTAATATAATTTCAGGCGAATTTAACACTTGGCAATTTTTTCTATAGTTTTTGAGCTCAAACAATTTTGACATAGACAAAAAACTACATACTTTAACTTTGATTTTAACCGGTTCTTACTTTCATTCAAAAAGGCACACTGGGAAAATTATCCCTTTTACAGTAAACCAAAGACGTGATAATGTTTTGGATTGAGGAGATGGCCAAATTAGATTTAATGTCAATCTTATTAAACGCCCGGAAATTTTCCTCTGGCGAATTATAGCTAATATATTTTAACTATTTAATAAACAAAATCTTCAATGCGTTCAGTTTCATATGAGGTTTGTGAAACTCGATATGAATTCATTTTTACCTTGGCCACTGAAAAAAAACCCAACAACAAGTCTCATAACAACATTTCGGTAATCACAGCACCGGGTAGCTGAACATTCACTTTTCGTGGCGACTTCAACGTAACAAATAAGGTTAAAAAAAATTATGTGAAAAAAGTCATTCAGTATAAAACCAAAGCAAACCGTCCTCCTATAAGAAAGTTAACTGACAATAAGAAAGAAAATGGACCTCATTTCCAGTGGAATGGTGATCACACCAAGGACATATGCTAATTTAATCATTTATTTTCGAAATTGATTGAACGATTGGGCCGGTGAGACATTCCTTATAAATTCTGACTTTTTATTATTATTTAAGATTCCCTTAATCGCCTCCTAGTTTTAACATTTAGGCTCTTAGCATCACTGACTAGTCCTAGAAGGACGAAACAGCTGTGCGGTGCAATTTATTCTCGTTTGTATTTTGTACAATTACTGAGTTTACATATGAATTCGAGTTGTCTCTCTTTGTACTATAACCAATTCACTAGCGTTTCCGTGATAAATCATGAGAAATAATCTGAACTGTAAAATGACGTGATAATCTATTTCTACTTTAGAATTAAGTAGGTATATAGCTTACAATCAAGTAAATAGTCTTGATAACGTTGAATTACAATGTTTTACGAAAATTATATCCTTGTTGGTTCAAGGTCGTACATGTATATCCGTTCATGCCCCAGGGGCTGTATTAATAATACAGAAGATGTTTTGCTTATATTCCTAGGCTATTTCAGTTATTTCTTTTGATAGAATGTTTCTGTTTTTATAGATTCCCGTCCCAGAAAGAACTCGTTTTCTCCGTAAAATGATGTAGGTATAACACGCCATGGTTTTATTTTCATAGCGAAACGACGATTTAGATCAGATTCAATCACACGACAGTAGACAAATGATGTGAAATATTGAGTTTTACATATTTTGTATAACCGATAACCATTTATGATTTTTGAAACCTTGAAACTACTGTCACAATTGTTATCACTTCGGCGTTAACACTATATGAAAAACAAAACTGGGCCCGTATTTATCAAACCATTCTCATGCCCAAGTGTAGATTTTGTGCTCAAGCAAACATTTTTTTATAATTTACCTAACTCATATAAAATAATACAAATGTTAAATATAAACAATGGACATAGCTTTGGCTTGAAGTCCTTTCAAAATTGTTTTTAAATCTTTGGCAAAATCAGTCTTATTTATTAATTTTGAACTGAAACAAGGCATAAGGCTTGAGCACAAAATGCATGCTTGAGCATAAGAACGATTTCATGAATACGGGCCATGGTCTCGAAGGAAAATGAGGAAGGTTAACCTGGTTTATAAGGTACTCAAATATCTGTTGAATAAATAGTGCCTTTCAGACACCAGGTTTGCTATATTTATCGGAGAGTAAAATATTTTTCAGCATATAATTTAGATTTTTTTTCATGTAAGAGTTATCTCCCTTCTAACACAGACGTTCTCGATATGACGGGAGAGGGCAGGAAGAATGTACGAGAAATTGGGAATATCATGTAAATTGTTTCATATGACCACCGAAATGGGATTCAGATATAATTGACATTAAAAGTAGCATAGTTATGAAAAAAATGATACAAAATCAGCAGACAGGTAAAAAGGTAAACGCGAAATATCAAATCATCAGACAGGTTAACGCGACCTATCAAATCATCAGACAGGTAAACGCGAAATATCAAATCATCAGACAGGTAAAAAGGTAAACGCGAAATATCAAATCATCAGACAGGTTAACGCGACCTATCAAATCATCAGACAGGTAAACGCGAAATATCAAATCATCAGACAGGTAAAAAGGTAAACGCGAAATATCAAATCATCAGACAGGTTAACGCGACCTATCAAATCATCAGACAGGTAAACGCGAAATATCAAATCATCAGACAGGTAAAAAGGTAAACGCGAAATATCAAATCATCACACAGGTAAACGCGAAATATCAAATCATCAGACAGGTAAACGCGAAATATCAAATCATCAGACAGGTAAACGTGAAATATCAAATCATCAGACAGGTAAACGTGAAATATCAAATTGTATCGTATCGTATCGTATTGTATCAGTCAGGTAATCGAGATAAATATATATATAATTATAATATTATTATATAACACGTTGCGACAGTTCGTTAAACATGTAAACGCCTCATCAAATCACCTGTCAGGTTTATACATTCAGCACATGAAATAATATACGTCTCTTTATATTACCTTCAGTGGAGCTTAGCTGTTCACAAATAGCCAAGGTGGTCATCTGGGCTCTAGTATGTATGGATCTGTGTCACAGCTTCGACATCAATGACCCCAATACCAATCTGGAGTCCCTGGTCCGGGTGACCGGTTCTCTGTCTCCGGATAACAGTACTATCGCATACATCAACGGGACCGTGTACTACCGGCTTCCTGGCGAAACTGCAAAGAAAATATTGAACTTCGAAGGCTATAACATCAATCGGAAAGAACGTGAAAAGGAAGGGAATTATATGTCTCTTTCGTGTGAGTTTGTCGTCTATAGAGATCCGGTGACGTCGGAGATCCTAAAAGTTTGGATGAATCCGATGACCTCCCAGCCAAATGAAGTATTCGCCGTCCAAAACGATCCAGTAGATGCTGTTTTTGTTCTTGGTGACGTCATCAAGACTGTTCATGCATCCTCGGAACAGCTCGCGTTTGAGTTGAATATTGACCTATCATATCCAAATGTCCTCGGCCCGCAAAAATACCCTAAGTTTTCTGCTGGTGACACGTACAAAGGAACAGAACTTTTTACGTACCTATCAAACTATACTGAATTGTCCACCAGCCAATCGGACAGTGTGCCGTTTTTCGGTACATGGCAGAGGAGTAGTCAGTTTCTGCCGTGGATGGAGATGGGAACCACGCCTGGTCATCTCATCTACAACACATTCTTTTGGAAATGTGACCGCGGATTGGCATGTATAGCAGATGACATTCTAGAGCTGATACGTTCGGATGGACTTCTGAAATACCTTACCGCCCCAGTATGGTACGAGGTACCCAATGATACCTCATGGTCGGTCTTCAAGAGTAAAATCGACGCAAGACGTGCGGCAAACTTGTCCGACATCATCATACCCATGGTCAATTCAACAGGTCATCCAATCATTAATTTGCCGCAAGTTGATCGTAAAATTGTCTCTTTGCTTGAAAATCAGAAACATATCCCATTTCGGTTCAACGGCTCCGTTTTTACTTCACTTAACGGAAACCAGATCGACCTCTACCGATTAGAAGGTAATGCAACAGCAACGGTTTCTTTTAACGCGTCAGCGTCTCAGCACGAGCCTTACATGACAATTCAATGTAAATATTCCGGATATTATCGAAATGCGTCGTCTGGTGTCGTCATAACGACATGGACCAATCCGTTGACAAACAGAAGTCTAGATTTACCCGATGTTTATGGATCAGAGTTCATTTCCTTTGACAGAAATGACATATACACAAACGATATCCCAGATAATGACGTTATCGGTCTTATAGGTGTTAGCTCCACAACTCAAGGTCAAAAGTTACCAGATGATGAAATCTGGACCGTGAGCATGCCTGTATTAGCATTTCCACTTCCGGTTGTTGTCGATGTTCCAAGGTTTTACGGAACATGGACGATATTCTCTAATTATCCTGCTGGATGGGACTGGGAAAGACCGATGGGTTTCTGAAAACCAAACTAATCGTGTCCTTGGATACAGGTGAAAATAGATAATAAACTCACCATCCAAGCTGGTGGCGGTTACAAGTACTGTAGGTCCGATTCCAATGAAAGTATCTGCTAACAATTTAACTCTTTTTGTAAATCAATATACATTGTAAAATATTCGTGGAATTTTGTATTACTACAATTATGGGCACAAACAAGTCACCATTGCAAACTGATGAATGTTAGGTAGATGGGACATTTTTTCAAGGAAGGGAAATCTCCATGCACAAGGGCAATCCCGTTTCTTATTCAACAAAGGAAAGTCTGATCTGCTAACGCGCAAGTAATCTCAAACCTGTTGGTAAGTAAGGTAAGCTCCTGTATGTTAACGCAAAAGTAAGCTCACACCTGTTGTTGAGTATGGTAAGCTCCAAGTTATCTCAATCATGTAATGCAGTTTGTTTGCTCGCGTGTTGATCCACTAACCCGGACAAACCATATTGGTTTGTTGTATGTTTAATCTATCAAAGCTTACAGACAGCATTGTTATTATTTATTTTTGCTAGAAGGTATTGTTTAATTCTAGGCACACATCACAATGGTTTATTTCCTGGAAGGTATTTTCTTATGATTCCCGACCACGATTTTCTGTTAATATAGTAATTGTAAAAAGTTTTTAATTATAATTTACTGACAAACTTTTTGAGATTAGACTGATAACATCACTAAAATGCAAACGGGCTGTTGTTGTTTGTTTTCTGTCTTCATGTTTCCATTAAAAGTTATCGTGACTAATGCTTAATATAAAAATCCCCGTTTGGAGCCCATTGAACTGGCCATTTTGTTCTGTGTGTATCAATTTACATGAGGCAGTTGGTCGAGGTTAAAATTGTGTGTAATTTCTCTCCGTAACTTGCTATTTTGTCCTGGCTAATTAGAGGCTGGAATTATGAAAACGGTTTTATGATCTCGGCCATACTTGTATTCATTGCCAGCATAATAGATATGTAAACAGATACTTATAAACATACAGAAGAAATCACTCATGCTGAAACATCGGGCCGCAAGCTTTAGTTTAGAGACAATATGCACAAGAGGTTTCAGTTTCATTTGCATTGCAAGAAATGATACAATTAAGAACAATTAAGTTTATTTGAAGGTAGCGTGATACCGCGTCAGATTTCGATGTAATTATGCTTTATCTGTTTTTATGAATTCAACATCGTAACCAATATCAGGCGCGTTTGATTAGCACAATAAAACGCAAGAGTAATTCTGACGAAAACTACGGGATGGGGCTTCATCGTTCTATTGTCATCAATCAGCTTTACAGTTGTTAAGTGGTATATTAGGACATGATTTGTGTTATTATCCAGTTAATTTTTAAATCTCATTTACAAAAGGTAGTAATTATACTCAAAATATCGGAAATTGAATTTCGCTGCGAGATAGTAACCGTGGAACTGGAAGATATCTTACCTCCACGAAAATAACCCACCTGGGGAGCGCTACTTCCCATTGACGTGGGGTCTGTGATTGCGGAGGGGCAGATTTCATTGGAGAGGAGGATGGGTCGGAGCTGATCTCTGTATTAAATAACCATAAATCTATTCTCTATGAATGGTCGGTTTAAACACAATGATAATCATTATCTCTATAAATTCTTTCCGAGAAATTGGCATTGTTGTAAATATCATCTATGACTCATATAGTCTTTGTTTAGGATGGCTAAATTTCAATAAAATAAAACAAGAGTAGTTCACTTTATCATAAAATAAAAATAAATAATAATTTCAATTTTTTAAGGACGTTATTATTGACTTAACGGGACTACTCAGAACGTGGTTCAATAAAGTGTGTTTTAACGGTCGTCATGGCGTGCAGATCATTACACCGTAAAATAAAGCAATATTATCTCCTGCGATATTCCGTTACCTACCGTCTAATAGAAATGATAAAAATATGCGCATTTTCGTCATTTTTAAATAATATTGAAAAATGATATTGTATTAAAAATTCAATATCTTCAATATTCAATAATTATCTTCAATAAATTACATATATACTTCTTGTGAATAAAATTCATTCGCATGAACCAAAGGTTTATTATATTCTGTAGAGTTTTATCGCCGATATGTTTCTCAGGTCATCAATTTTGTACTCTGTCTTATATTAAGTCGGTACAAGTTTTAAATCTGAGACTAAAAGATGACCTGAATACTTCAATATTATACAGCTTAAATAGAGGTAAAATATTTTTGGTTATTACATCACTCCCACCGGCCCTTCCATCTATAACCCTCCCCCCCCTCAAAAAAAATCTTTTACCTTTTTGATATTGAATAAATATTAAAAACCTTATAATCTATACCACTTTTAAATGATTTTCAGCATTTTTGTTTCTTAGTATGAAAAGAGAATACACACTGTATAAAAGGAATATGAAGCAATAGGAGAAATGATACATTAATAAGTAGGAATAGGAATAATAGAAAAGGAATGTATAGGAATAGGGGTTATAGAATAGGAATGTGTAGGAATAGGGGTTATAGAATAGGAATGTGTTGGAATAGGGGTTATAGAATAGGAATGTGTAGGAATAGGAGTTATAGAATAGGAATGTATAGGAATATGGGGCTATAGAATAGGAATGTGTAGGAATAGGGGTTATAGAATAGGAATGTGTAGGAATAGGGGTTATAGAATAGGAATGTGTAGGAATAGGGGTTATAGAATAGGAATGTGTAGGAATAGGGGTTATAGAATAGGAATGTGTAGGAATAGGGGTTATAGAATAGGAATGTATAGGAATATGGGGCTATAGAATAGGAATGTGTAGGAATAGGAGTTATAGAATAGGAATATGTAGGAATAGGAGTTATAGAATAGGAATGTGTAGAAATAGGATTTATAGAATAGGAATGTATAGGAATAGGAGTTATAAAAGAATTATAGGAATATATAAGGACACAACTTGAAGGAGGTAAAGATTTCGAGAGACAAAATTAAGAATAAATTCTGAATTTGTTAGCAGGGTATATCCGAGGTCATTTTGATTCAGGGTTTCCTTGGAAACTACCTCAGTGAACTGGAGACCCGTCACTAGACTTTCAGTGCAAAAGGATAAAGTGTCTTTCCCGCTGATACAACCACGTAACCACAGATGGATTCGTTTCTCAGAAAAAATGAGAAAGGTTTAGTGAACCTATTTGCCTAGGAAACGTTGATTCTCTCGTGGTGTTATGGCCTATGTTGTATGGCTGACGTGGCCTATGTTGTATGGATGACGTTGTTATGGCTGAAAACGAGCACACATGCGTATGTTGTATGGCTGACATTGTTGCGACTGGTAACGAGCACACATGCCTATGTTCTATGGCTGACGTGGGCTATGTTCTATGGATGACGTTGTTATGGCTGAAAACGAGCACACATGCCTATGTTGTATGGATGACGTTGTTATGACTGAAAACGAGCACACGGACATTTTTTACGGCTCAAACGAGTACACAGACCTAAATTACTAATGCTGAAAACGAGCATACGGGTCTATGTTGTTATTTCTGAATACGAACACACGGGCCTATGTTGTTATGGCAGAAAACGAGAAGGAGAAAACGAGCACATGGGCCTGTGTTGTTATTGCTGAAAACGAACACACGAGCCGATGTTTTTATGATAGAAAACGACCACACGGCCGTACGTTGTTATTGCTGAAAGCCCTCACGTGGGTACATGTTGTTAGGACAGAAAACAAAGGTGATCGTACAACTTGTAAAGGTTGTATTTGAATTTCAAAAGTTGTTTAATTCATCATGTTGCTGGGTTTTGTTTTCGAGTATTTGGGGTAAACTGGTGTGATAATATAAAAAGCCGTGTCTCGAATGTTCTGTTCTTGGAAGAAAAATCATAACATCTGTTAGATGATAAAAATATCAACTTTTGCAGGTAGTAGCATATTTAGTAACGTTACAAAATGTCAACAACACACCATGATTTTATGATACTTGACATCCATTTACATTACTCTAAATTGAAACAATTAACGAGAACAAATTTCATTGAATAATTGTTATTTTCAATTAAGAGTACGTGAATGATCACCAAACATCTGTGTGAGAAGGATCATAACACGGGTAGCCCATAAGGTCATAACCTTTATGCACGTGTTTGACGGCAGGAGCGTTCGTTTTGACAGTCGCTGAACAAATGTCGGCATAACGGAAACCACGTGACTTGCATTACTAATTCTTTCTCTAAAAACTATTACTATTTTTCACCGCGCGTGCTATGGTGGGTCTTCGGGGCACTTGCAGGATTTCAGGATAATACGTCATTTTAACACCTCGGCCTGGCATGAGATGTTGAAGGACTGAAGTAGTATTGAATTTAATTTAGTACAAATAGTAACGTGTGTGTTATGTACAGTCGGTAAGACACTGCTTTCATCGTCCTTGTCTCCGCGTGTTTTGAAGTGGTAGATATGCTGACTGGCTCAGGGTTATGTTTTAATGAGGGACCGCGCAGGCTTCATGCCGGCCAGGTCACCCCTATCGTAAGCCAGGTGAGGAAGGAAGGACAAAGGCGTAAAAAAGCCTAGTATGCCATCACGTACAACTGAAATATAGGGGTTCACTATATTCTTAGATTATTAATTGTCTTATCGTAACTTTACATTGCTGTGAATTATGAGTCCATGAACGCAGACGTTAGGACATTATTAAAGAAACGGGACACTAATTCCGGGTAACATCCTCCGGTTTAGCGTGCTTTGATACCTATGCTTTTTATATTTGAATTGTTGTAATTATTCACGACAGACAAATAATGAACCTGGAAGTATCCTATGGCTATAAGACTTAACACTACAAAGTACTGATTCTCTGGTATGTAATCAACACGAAAACTTATTTATTTCTAACTAGACCCAAAAGTGTTTAAATCTGAAACGTCGCGTCACCTCATTGAACCACTAAATATACAGCGGATGTTCCCTCCACCCACCAGTACATTTACACCGGATCTTCACCCCACTCACCCGTACATATACGCCGGATCTTCTTCCTACCTACCAGTACATATACACCGGATCTTCACTACACTGGATTTTCACCCCACTCACCCGTACATATACACCGGATCTTCACCCCACTCACCCGTACATATACGCCGGATCTTCTTCCTACCTACCAGTACATATACACCGGATTTTCACTACACTGGATCTTCACCCCACTCACCCGTACATATACACCGGATCTTCACCCCACTCATCAGTACATACATATATACCGGATCTTCTTCCTACCTACCAGTACATATACACCGGATCTTCTTCCTACCTACCAGTACATATACACCGGATCTTCACTACACTGGATCTTCACCCCACCCACCAGTACATATACACCGGATCTAGACCCCTCTCACCAGTACATATACACCGGATCTAGACCCCTCTCACCAGTACATATACACCGGATCTAGACCCCTCTCACCAGTACATATACACCGGACCTTTAACCCCTTATATGACCTGTACAAACCGGACTTTTACCCTCATCATTCGTTGTGTATATACTGGTAAAATGTAGACGTTCATCTTGACGCCAATATCGTTTTTTTATTATTTTATTTGTCTCGTTATTTAGACATCCTTGTAGCCCGATCGTTTATAAACTGATAAATCTTACTACTGTCGTAAATGTCCAAAAATATTTTTCAATGATGCGTGCAAAATCTGCAAATTTGTATTGTCTGGTTTTACCATGTCCATAATGTCATATTTACCGCGTGTATCGTTCAACAAATCAACTACAGCCGACTGATCCAAGAACAGAAGAAGGCGATTGTATAATATCTGGGATCTCGTTATTTCTTAAAATAATATTCATAATTAAACTAATTTCGTATCGTTGTTATGCGTTAAAATCACAGTTGGTTCAGCATCAAACAGGTTAAATTTGGACATTTGTCTATTTTTGTTGGGGTCTGTTGAGATTAATTGGTCAGACTGTCCTTTGATGTTTTGAACCGGGTTAACACGTTGGCCACCATCCGTTGTCTGGAATCATTTACAAATCGATCTCTCCGATAAGGCTGGATGTCAACTATACCAAGTATATAAACAGCTCGGAGTTCAAAAACTCAACACGCGTTAACGAAGAATTACAAATAATCATTAGTGAAAAGGAAACAAAAGATTAATGCAGTTATATATTGTTAAACTGGATGTATGTTCTTGGAAAATACATGTTCAATAGTTCTTGGACGTCCGCGTCAGTTGTTCGACGAGCACGTTTTGTGTCGCCTCAGATGTCCACTGCACGACGTTCCGTCCAGAGAAAGCCTTCTAACATGTCAGGCGCAACATCGCTTTCACCGCAGCCGCCGGCCATTATCAAACAAGGCATTTGTTGGTAATTATCCACTTCTCACAAGTGCACATGTCAATCAAACTTAATGTCGATTTCACCTGTGAGGCGCACGTGCATGTCAATTGCAATACCTGATGACGTCCCGAGAGATACGATCACCCCCATTGATCTGGCAGTGGCTGAATCTTGTGGCCAGATGGCGTTGTCAGATGAGATGGGTTACGGTAATTATATTTCTGTGTTACCTGCTTGAGGAAATCTGTCCTGTATCGAGAGGGATATGTGTATTGTTGACAATATTGGTCCTGTTAAGCCGGAAAAATGGCAAATCGGCAGGAAAGTCAACAACAGTATGCAATAGGAACCCGTACAGACGAGTGATTATCACGATGTTCAATGATCATCCAATGATAACGTTTGTACAGAACAGAAGTTAACACCCTATAACGAAATGCTGATAATAAGATATGTAAATACGATAAAGTGAATGTGTGTGTTCTGTTCATCTGAGTACGTTTAATGAGATACACCACGCCGCGAGCTGCAGTTAGTTACAATAACTGTTGCATATTCACAAGGATACGTTAATTTACCAATATTTGAAAACAATAATAACAATAATAATAAACCAACAGCAATATTGATGACAATAGTAACGACAAATCCGGAACATTTGTGGACAGAATGAAACCGTTATATCTATTCAATCATATACGTCCCTGATTCAATATAATATTCAACTTCGTTGTAAAACAATATTCTTACAGGGGTTGGTCATTGTGTAAACCAAATCGGAACGTAGTTTAACTTTTACTCAGGTGAAAATCGCTGTCAACGGCGCTGATTTATTAATTTAGTTTATTCTTGCTGCACAATCCATAATTGAAAATATGGAGATCTATCTGCTTGAAGAAAATAAGGTAAAGAATCACATTGTAAGAGGGAGATATAGCAGCAGAGTCAATGAGGGAAAAATAAATAAAAGTGGGAGATTTACCAACTGAGTCGATGAGGGAAAGGAAATAAATTTGGGAGGTTTACCAACTGCGTCAACGGCAAAGATTCTGAATGAAATATGCTGAAAACGACTAATACATGACCCTGATTCTTTGAATAAAAAAAATTTCTCGCGTGGCATTATTGATTAACAGTAGGTTACCAATGCCATAGCGGAAGTTAAAGAAGAGTGACATCCCCTGTGTAATTGTGACGTCATAATCATTTACCATAGTTTATTGTTGCGGATAAACGATTTACACGCATTCCGATGTTACCTCCAATTAACCATATTTGACGACTGTAACCACAAACAATTTGCATCGTTTTAACAACAAGTTATAAAGTTTTGCAAGGTAAGAGAGATGCCCAGCTGATAAATCGTTATTTTTGGTAGTACAGTAATACATAAGATCTATACATAGGACCTACTGTACTCCAGGTAGTCACTTTTCTTTTCACTGGCTTTTGTCTGTATAACTGTTAGGGACGATATAACTTCATCAACCTTTAATTAATGAACATAACAAATTCAGAAAATATTTGTAATGCTTTGATGGAAATAAATCTCTCAAACATAAATTTGTTGCTGTAACCCTGCTAATTTTTATTCGACAACACTTACCTCCATTTGATTTTTTCTATTCTTTATCTTTGACTCAGTTCAGATTTAAACCAACATCATGCATAACGGTGAAGATTTAGTGGGCGTTAGTTATCCGGCAATGAGATACCAGCCAGTCAATAGGACGTCCAGAAGAAAGGTTTCTAACTTTCCAGTAGACACATTCGACCTCAGGGTGCACGTACTAGTAGGCTACATGGAGGAGGCTATCCGTCGTCCTTTACCAAATCAGGTTTTTGATGAAACAGATGACGACAATGATATTGAATCAGTTAAGTCCAGTGGAGAAGAAATGAGCGATGATGATGATGATGATGATGATGATGATGATGATGATGATGATGATGATGATGATGATGATGATGAAATAAATGACATGTATAACGAGTATGACAATCTTGGGAGTTTCTTCACTGAAAAAGACGGTACCCAAGAGCCTTATGAAGTCTATGTTCGGTTCTCATTCAGTCCTCTGCCCGATGACGACGAGGCAAACATTGATGACGGAAACATCGAGGAAACCGGAACAGAAAATGGTACGCTGCATAAACATCTAAAAAAAGAGTTAATGTAGAATATGCTGCATTCCACTTCTGATAAACAAGTAAGATTAGAGTAAAATATGCTGTATTCCACTTCAAATGTATTTCTTATGTATGCCAATGTAGCATGTATATTTCTATTGTTCTATACAAAACCAGTTTTCACGGAGTAGAGGTTCGTTGCTCAGAACGTACGATACTTTGTTATTTCCAGACCACGCAGAGTCATCGAATCCGCGTTGGGAGTCGTGTTCTGTAAGTATATAAACATAGCGTTCGGATGGTTTCTATCAAAATTCCCATTTCAGATGCAGCTATAAATAAAATCATTTACAGCCTTAAAGGTCAAGGTCACTGTTAGAAAAAAGTTCACTAATACTGGGCCACTGGCCAGGTTTATGGTATCGATGATCAGTCTTACTCTAGGTTACTGTTAGTGGAATGTTACTTCTGTTCGGAGCTTTGGTAAAATACCTTCTCTTTATTTGGCAATTAAATGTTAATGTTCCCGTTTCAGAAGAATGGAAGTGAAAATGTGAAGAGATCGAGTTCTACGTGCCTTAATTGCTTCAAAATGACTTACCGTAAATATGGTAGGTATACTATTGTGATATCTATAGGGACAGTAGTAAAGGGTCAGTTGTGTCGTGTTATATATTCGTGTTACAATAAAAAAATAATATCGTCTTTATTGTAACTTATTCAAAATACTGTAGCGACCATTATCTTTATAGTGTATCAAAACAAAGCATTTTTGTCCTGTGTAGTAAATGTTACTGAAACATTAGACTGCCATCATTGGAATATTCAGTATTAATATCAATAGTATCAATATATAGTTTTATAATCGTATCTTTTATTCATAGGACTGTCTCTCTTTTCTCTTAGGCGAAGACGACGAAGTGAAACCCACAAAGTCCGTGAAAAGACCTAGTACTTTCCGTAGAGTGTTCAACTTTTCCCACAAATTCCAGCGTTGGATAAATTTCTAATATGTTTAGAGATATACAGTACATATGTACTCCTTTTTTTCATGATATTACTTTCTTATCAACACTACACATTCATTGTAGTTTTTATAAATGTTTAACTGATAGTTCTGCAATTGTACAAGGAACATGTCGGTTTTATTTCAATACAATTTGTAACTGTTTTACTGTTTTTACATTTTTATCATATCATACAATATATTCTTGTTATTAAATACTTATACTTAACAAGATACAAATTTGTATTTTGAGCAATTTTAATTAAAACGTGTTAAAATATCTATAAAATATATTGAGGTGTTTTTTTATTATTAGATTTAATATCTATTGTAAACTCAGTTTTCAATAACTTACTAGTTAGTTGGATGCCAGGTGTGTCCTGTTTCATATATGTTGATATTTCAACTAAAACAATGTGTCGATATCAAATTAAACTTCAAGTAGTTTTTTATGATTAATAGCGAACGGGTGTTACGGGCAAATTCAATAAAAACTATGATAAAATTGGAAAAATACACCACCGACGAGGATGGGATTCGAACCCACGCGGGGAGACCCCAATGGATTAGCAGTCCATCGCCTTAACCACTCGGCCACCTCGTCTTCTTGATGTTGAAAATTGAGGTGAGTAAGCTGATAGTGTCATATTTTAAGTGAAATCGTCGGTCATGTCGCCAGTACATTGGTGTTCGTCGGTTATATGATACCCGGACAAGGGAGGAGTGACAGATACGGTAAACATATTAACCAACCAAAGAAAGTAAATTTGACAAAGAAATCAAGAAAGAAGCTGATTTGATTGTAAAGGACAAGCTAGATTCGCACTGATCCAAATCGGATCAGATTCAAAACCTATCTGCAACACTCACACGGACAGCGTACAATGCCGTAAAATTAGGTCACTGTGATATTAATCCAAGGTCAGGTGGTCAAATTAAAGCAAACTTTACAGTCAGAATATTCTTGTAAAGGCGATAATGTCTGAACACTCGAAACCATTTCGAAGAATCTGGAAACATAACTGCATCATTCACATGCAAAGTGAAGTGCGCTGATATTAGGTCACTTTGACACTGACCCCAAGGTCGAAGATTGAAATAGTTGATTTATAGCATTATTTTCATGTCGGGACCAAAGCTTTTAAATTATCTCAAATATCAAATATAAAATTTAGACATACCTGCATTCATTTAGCATTCCCCTAAGTAATGTTATGTTCTTGAAAGTCACCTGATCATATGTTCATGATATGTCAGATGTCAAGGTCAGTTTTTTAAAAATCCTTTATTGGCATATAGTTTATAACTTTTGAAAGCAAATGTCACTTGACTTAAAGATATGGTTAAATCGCTTGACGATTAGTCATGGTCAAATCATAAACGTTCTGCTGGTAAAATTTTGTTTATGACATCAAGAAAAAAATTTATACGGATGAAGAAGTAAATGCATGTTGAAAGATTAAAGGTCAAGGTTAAAAAAGGAATTAATACAAAGCTGTAATCTTGTCCAATATGTCATATATATATATATATATGCGTGATATTGTTTAATCTAACTAACTTTTATATCTTAACTGGTAAACATTTTATGACTAAATGAGGAAGAAAGGACCGTCGACTTGTCATACCTTAACTGACCCGGCACACTCTTATGATTTCTATCCATCCAGTGGTTTCACGAAGTGGTTACACTATATGGTGTCTGTGTATATTTTCCTACATCACAAAAATTAACTAGTTATAACCTAAAATAAGTATTCGCTAGTATTTCCTTTGGAATGAAAGTGCGTAAAATTATGTGAATCGACGCGGGCGAAACCACATTTCCCTGACTTAGTAAATTTATGAGTCCTACATTTAATCTGTCTATAGCATTCGATTTGTCAGACGATAAATGACGCTGAGTCAGAATCAGCAAAAACCAACAACAATGCGAAAAGGCGAAAACACATTACATCAGAAAGACAAAACTGACTGATTGGTAGTAGGTTTTAATCTCGTGATTCAATACTTTGGTTTGACAGACTTTTGTTCTTTTTTTTTTGTCTATTGTAGTTTTATTGCAGAACGAATGTTACACGCTGACTAGCCACGATATGTAAACGAAGATGTTTCCCAGTTTTGTTTCATCAATCTTGTTTTCGATACGGAATCGATCTCCTTGTTAGGACAACACCTGCCACCTCATTGGTGTATCCTTTACCTGCATATAACCTCATACCTTTAATTACCTGTACACCTCCCTATCTCGATAAAATACCAACTGTCTCACCTGTAACAAAACATGATTGAATTGCTTTTAAAACATGATTTCCTCCCGTATAGTAAAATAACATCCAAGTGTTTTATCTGTACAAAAAAACCTTCAATTACTTGATTGAAATCTGATTTTCTGTATAAAGGTATTCCTTTCCCTTATAAATCGACCACCTGTTTACCTGAAAAAAGCCTTTTTAATTAAATATATATGGAAATCTAATTCCATAAAAAGTGTTCTCAATATATTAATTAGTATATGTCCAGCGATATGATAAAGGAGAGAACGAATGATACTGCGACATTCGTGACGACAATTCTGAGCCCCGCGAGGAGTCCATACCCTGCTCCCCGGGCACTCTCCACGAAATCGCATTAATACGCCATCAGATCGCTGGAATAACGATGTATGACACATTATTAACTTGCCACAGAGGGGACGAGCACCTGTCAAGGTGAGCTTCAGACTGATCGAACGGTGATCGATACAATTTTAATTTACTATCACGATAATAACTAGCTTGTGTTATCTATTCCCAGGAACCACACAAAACACACGATATGATGACGAAGTGGTGCTTTAATGTATTGCAATCGAGTTGTATTAGAATAGCCGACGATACCTGCTGAGTGAACAGGTTTAATACTAGTAATTGAATAAAATAAAACAACATCTAACGACTCCTGGCTTCCCCCACATCATCCGCCTGGTGTATTTTATCTGTTTGTGTGGTAGATGAACTTTACACCTCCCACAACGACAAACCTAACCAGTGCACGGTTACATGCGTTTACCGCACCTATACCGGTTCATCTACACCATCAAATTAGCTAATCAGATATTTACAATACAAATATGTTTTTTTTTTGCAATGAATAGATGTTTGTCAGTCAGAGAGGCTGCGTACATAGAGATGACGTCTCTGGTAATCTGGCTTCGTTTACTTTCCAAGCTACCGCTACAAAATGTCAGCGGATTCCAGATAGCATTAGCTGTCAAGACCGTAAATTTATAAAAGTAGAAATATCTTACCAAAGTTTGTCTTTCTGTTGCCTTGATTCAGAACTGAACAGCCAGTTTGTACGTGAAAGTTGCATATAATAAAACCCCCACATATATTTCTAAATATAATTTACAAGAAAGTTAATCCATTTATCAATTCCGACACCATGAACAGTTGTAAGTTTCGAGCATCAGATAAGGTTGTTTTCATAAGATAATGGTTTGAATTATTGGGTAATATGCTGTTCCTTCAGCCCCAAGAAAGGTCATCAGATTTATTTGTGTACATGTTCACGCACATGGACTAAAGAACCTGTCAAAATGTTTTGATAAAGATGATATTAAGAAATGAGCCTGTTTGACACGTTTTGCCATGTCCGTCACTCTCTAAACTGCCAACTCCGTTTATTTGCCAACTATTTGATGACAGGCTTAGGGTGCTACCACCTAAATTGTAAGGGTTTTAGAGGTGTCGTCTAACGCGGCAATATATCAAAGTTTTGGAGGTGTTGTCCAAGGCAGAAATGTGAAGAAGTTTGGGAGGTGTCGTCCAAGGCGGGAATGTGAAGTAGTAGTGTCGTCCATGGCGGTAATGTGTAAACGTTTGGGAGGTGTCGTCCACGGCGGTAATGTGTAAAGTTTGGGAGGTGTTGTCCACGGCGGTAATGTTTAAAGTTTGGAAGGTGTCATCCACGACAGTAATATGTAAAAGTTTGGGAGGGTATCGTCCACGGCAGTAATGTGTAAAAGTTTGGGAGGTGTTGTCCAAGGCAGAAATGTGAAGAAGTTTAGGAGATATCGTCCAAGGCGGGATGTGAAGAAGTAGTGTCGTCCATGTTGGTAATGTGTAAACGTTTGGGAGGTGTCGTCCATGGCGGTAATGTGTAAAAGTTTGGGAGGTGTCGCCCACGGCGGAAATGTGTAAAGTTTGGGAGGTGTCGCCCACGGCGGAAATGTGTAAAGTTTGGGAGGTGTCGTCCACGACAGTAATGTGTAAAAGTTTGGGAGGTGTCGTCCACGGCGGAAATGTGTAAACGTTTGGAAGGGTGTCGTCCATGGCAGTAATGTGTAAAGTTTTGGAGGTGTCGTCCATGGCGGAAATGTGTAAACGTTTGGGAGGTGTCGCCCATGGCGGAAATGTGTAAAAGTTTGGGAGGGTGTCGTCCAAGGCGGAAATGTGTAAACGTTTGGGAGGTGTCTTCCAAGGCAGTTATGTGTTAAAGTCTGGGAGGTATCATCCGAGATGGAAATGTGTTTTAAGTCTGGGAGGTATCGTCCAAGGCAATTATGTCTGAGAGCTGGAGGCGTCTTCCAAGGCAGTAAGGAGTAAATAGGAGTATATGTTAATTCCGCAGGTGGCTGTATTCTTCGTAAGATAATTTTATATAGTGATATTGGTGTTGGTAGTACATACTTAATTGACAGTATATTTTGCAGTATATATGAGCATGCATTGAACCATCAAGATGTCATTCATGGTTGGTATAAAAGGCAAACCTTTTGTAGGCATAGATATGCGTGCTAGTAAGACAACAAGGCGATGTGCAAGCAAATTTACGTGTTTAATCGGGTACCATGGAAACCATGTATGGTTTTTCTGATTGGCTGAGAACCAATGAAGGTAAAGAGATGTATGGTGACAATAGAAAGTAATTCCTTCGTAAATATCACGTTTGACTAAGGTGTAGTTTAAGGGACTAATCCCTGTTAAAATTACCGTTTGTTGATCTTTCATGGTTTGAACA